GACTCTGACCTCACAATGTCTCTTCTGTTAGATTGGGAGTTTCCTGAAAGTGGAGTTTCCTGAAAGTAGATTGGAGTTAACTGAAAGGAGTGAAAGTGTTTTTTCACTCCTTTCAGTTATCAAGAAAACAAATCATGCCTGCTGATTAATATACCTGAGAAGAAAATGATACCACATGGCTGATCTTCACAGGAGCCATGGTGGCCCAGCAGCTGTTTCAAGTACAAGGCAAAAATGCTTCCTCCCAAGATTTCTTCTGTCACTACTTTGGCACTGACTATGTGTTAGCTTCCAGAAAAGCAAGAATCCTCGTATCACTCCTGAAAAAGAGAACAGAAGAAAAACAAACTAGCTGTGCTTGTGATAACAGGAGTTATTTGCAGCAGTCAGTTCATTTCTTTCTTTCTTTTTTTTTTTTTTGGGACAGAGTCTCACTCTGTCACCCAGGCTGGAGTGCAGTGGTGCGATCTTGGCTCACTGCAAGTTTTGCCTCCCAGGTTTATGCCATTCTCCTGCCTCAGCCTCTCAAGTAGCCAGGATTACAGGCACATGCCACCACGCCCAGCTAATTTTTTATATTTTAAGTAGAGACGGAGTTTCACTGTGTTAGCCAGGATGGTCTCGATTTCCTAACCTCGTGATCCACCAGCCTCGGCCTCCCGAAGTGTTGGGATTACAGGTGTGAGCCACTGCACCCGGCCAAGTTAGTCCATGACCAACATGTGCCTGGTGGGAGTGGTGGCAGGGAGTAGGTTTGGATCAGCTGATGAGGCTCCAAAAAACACAAAATAACTCGAATGCAACCAGAAGGCAACACAGCAGCAAGTGCAAAATAATATATTAAGATGTTAATGTTGGATTTGTATATACGTGAGCTCTCAAGGGCATGAACTGTGCCTTAAATTATACACCTTTATATCACTAGAGCCTAGTACATGGTAAGGATAGGCAACAAATGTTCAACAAAATATATGACACAACTTTTTTTCTTCTTCTCCTAAAATGAATCTTCCTACATTTAGCTTTTCATGAAGTTATTCCTCTACTAGACATCTTCAAAGACTTGCTGATTTATGCAAAACCCTTGGTAAGCTGGGTGTGGTGACATGGGCCTGTAGTCCTAACTACTCAGGAGACTGAGGCAGGAAGATCACTTGAGCCCAGGAGTTGGAGGCTGCAGTGAGCCATGATGGTGCCACTGTATTCCAGCCTGGGTGACAGAGTGAGACCCTAACTCTAAAAAAAAAATTCACATTGGTATTTGTACTTCGTGGTTTGCTAAACATTTTAGGTAAATGTTTAAATATATGCAAAAACACACATATTAGTATAATGAACTCATGCATCCATCACCTTGCTTCAACAATTCCTTGCTGAGAGGAGTTTTAAAGTTGTCTGAATGTCTTTAGGTAGAATATTTTCAAATATTTAACCCTGTCTATTTTATTCATGTTTATTACCCATCTGGCTCCTGAAAATATGAGTCCGTGACTCTTGATATACTCCTGGCCATAATGGTCTTTTTGCTTACCCTCCCCACCAAAAGTTTTTTTCCCTTTTCTCCAAGATTTTGCTCATGTCATTGCCTATGCTTGGAATGTTCTTTCTCTTTCCCATTTACCAAATCTAATGCATCTTTGGTGCTCAAATGTCACCTCTCCTCTGCTGAAACAGCTTAAGGTGACAGCTCCATCCTGTCAATCCTCACTTAGCCTTTAACAGAGTGCCTCATATTATAATTATATGGGGTATGTCTTCTTTGTCCCTTGACAAATTGTAAGCTCTTGGGAGACAGGTTTCATGTCTGATTCATTTGTGTGTACCCAATGTAAAAGGGAGAATATAGTTCCTGATTTGCAAATGTCTGTTGAATGAATGACCATAAAAATTGTGCTCCAAAGGGCTCACAGTCATAAAGGATTCAAAGTGGGGTAGAATGTAGCAATAGCAGTAACAAACTCTTAGTGAATGCCATCTAAACATCAAGCACTCCTCACAGGCCACAGCCAATATGGGGCTAAGGCTTCAAAGACAGAAGAATGAAGAATGAGTCCTGAGTCTCCTCTCTAGGGCTCAGATTAATTAAAGCTCACTATTCCCACTATGGGAACTCACTGGGCACACAAATATCTTTCCTTCTTTCTGCTAGATTTTGGAGATATAAAAATAATAAAAATAAGTAAGACATAGCCTGTGTTTTGAACAAACTCACAGTATATTTTTGTGATTTGATGCGAAAAACTCCACCATCTCTCATCGTCAATGAACACTCAGGCCAGGCATGGTGGCTCACGTCTGTAATCCCCGCACATTGAGAAGTTGAGGACGGTGGATATCTTAAGCCCAGGAGTTCAAGATCAGCCTGGACAACATGGCGAAATCCCATCTCTACAAAAAAAAAAAAAAAAAAAAAATTAGCCAGATGTGGTGGTGTGTGTCTGGAGCCCAAGCTACTCAGGAGACCGAGGCAGGAGGATTGCTTGAGCTTGGGAGGCAGAGATTACAGTGAGCTGAGATCGCACCATCACACTCCAGCCTAGGAGACAGTGAAACCCTATCTCAAAAATAAATAAATACATAAATAAATAAACACTCTTGGTTTGGCAATTCCGACAATCAAACTGCTTGTAGTTCTCACAAGATTAAGTTATTTGAGAACTCCTTCCCTTACAAAAACTGTTGCTGCCATTTTTTGGTAATTACTTGTTTACCCTGTGTGCCTCCTCACTAAGTAGTAAGCTCTTTGAGGATGTGGATTTTTGTCATGTTCATGATCTCCCACACTTCAGAGCAGCATCATGATTCTGTCAGAAGCAATAAAGTAATAAATGATGCTCAGGAAATTGGTTGACAATGAGAAGAAAAATAAAAGTAGATCCCTACCTCACAACATATTTAAAAAATTATACCTAGGCTGGGCATGGTGGCTCACACCTGTAATCCCAGCATTTTGGGAGGTCGAGGTGGGTGGATCACTTGAGGTCAGGAGTTTGACACCAGCCTGGCCAACACGGTGAAACCCTATTTCTACTCAAAATACAAAAATTAGCTGGGTGTGGTGGCACATGCCTGTAATCCCAGCTACTAGGGAGGCTGAAGCAGGAGAATTGCTTGAACCTGGGAGGCAAAGGTTGCAGTGAGCCAAGATCACCCCTCTGCATTCCAGCGTGGGTGACAAAGTGAGATTCTGTCTCAAAAAATGAAATAAAATAAAACAAAATAAAATAAAGACAAATAATTATACCTAAAAGGCTGGGTACAGTGGCTCACACCTGTAATCTCATCACTTTGGGAGGCAGAGGCTCAGGAGGATTGCTTGAACCCAGGAGTTCAAGACCAGCAACATAGTGGGACCCGATCTCTACAAAATATTTAAAATATTAGCCAGGTGTGGTGGCACATGCCTATAGTCTCAGGTACTCAGAAGGCTGAGGTGGGAGAATTGCTTGAGCCTGGGAGATGGAAGCTACAGTGAGCAGTTATCACGCCACTGCAGTCCACCTGGGTGACAGAGCCAGACCCTGTATCACTCAGGTTGGGCACAGTGGTTCACATCTGTAATCCCAGCACTTTGGGAGGCCGAGGCAGGTGGATCACTTGAGGTCAGGAGTTCGAGACCATGGCCAATATGGCGAAACCCCGTGTCTACTAAAAATACAAAAATTATCTGGGCGTGGTGGCGTGTCCGTAGTCCCAGTTACTCGGGAGACTGAGACACGAGAATCATCTGAACCCAGGAGGCGGAGGCTGCAGGGAGCCCAGATTGAACCACTGCATTCCAGCCTTGGTAACAGAGCAAGATACCGTCTCAAAGAAAAAAAAAAAAAGCACTTGGATTAAAAAACAAAATGAAACACAATACAATACTGTATAGTCATGGCTACGTATAATTTTAAAAAATGGATTGGGAGAACACAAGCTAATTCTAATCCATAATAGTTGCTTCTGGAGAAGATGAGAGGGTAATGGGCTTGAGAGTAGAAAAAACAGGTAAGTTTAACTTTTATTGTATTATCTAGCTTTTAAAAAATGAGTAAGCAAATAAATCATAAGGCCAATAGTCAATTTAGGGTGATGGGTGTACAGTGTTTATAACATTCTCCGTATTAAGTTTCACAAAATGAAAATAATTATTTTTATTTTAAGTACATGAGATGCCTGTAGATGATGTAAATAATTCCCTGTAATTTTCTGTTGGTCCCAATATAAAGCTGACTTTTCTAGACGTTCTGTGGACTCACAAGCCAACCTAGTTCCATTCACCAGACAGATCCAGGCGGACGCCCAGAGGCGTGTGCACTGGGGCTACAGGCTTGCAAGGTATCGAGTTCACATGCTGCTGAAAAATCAGTTACGAAGGCATACGTAGGGGTGGGGCAGTATGGTGTACAAAAACGAGGGTACGGCAGAAGCGGGGGCCACAGGATGTGGGTTAGAAAAGTGTGCAGAGATGTATGAATTGGCATGACAGCCTAACTAAGACGCGGAATGTGGGGGCCGTGGAGGTCCCGCAAGGCTCTTCAGCTCTCAGTTTCTGGAGCTCAAGCCGTACCTCTGCTTTCACTGTTCATCGGGAACAGGCTGCTCTGTTCATTTCCTTGATGGCCACCCCTCCTCCCTCTCGGCCACTCCCCTCCCCATCAACAAATCCCAAAGCCCCTCACCTGGGACCGTGGACCTCGCGGAGCCACCGTTGCCTCAGATCGTGGACCACCAACCTATTCTCCCGCCAATTCGGCCCTCTAACCTTCGCCTTCTGACCCCGAGAGCTACTCTTCCGCTTTCCGTAGTACAGGAACGCGTTCTGGGCCTCAAGAAGCTGCTGTTTTTGAAAATGACTCCTACCGAGGCAAGACGGCAGGTGCTGCAGCCAGGAAAATACATTTGCGTGTGTTTTAATGTTTATTTTCACTCACTACAACTCTTTCTCGTGGAGGGAGCGGAATTTAAACTTCCGGGTCAGCCTCAGTGCAGTTTGGGAAACGTAGTTCCTAGTCCCCACGTCTCGCTCCTTGGAGGCCACACTGAGGGAGCGTCGCGAAAGTTGCCCGTTTAGGAACTCTCCCATTTGGCTCTGCAAAGGGAAGAATTGGTTAAATAGTTCCACTGAAAATAATGCGATTCAAATTTCTCATTTTCCAAGAACGCTCCCTTCCTGAAGCTTGCAAGGGCACGGGACTCCTCTCTCCTTGATCATGAAACGTGCATCAGGTAGATAACCTCCTGATGCCTGACAGTCTCCGCCTGTTTTGATGCCCCGCCCCCTCTGCTGGAGTCCGAGCCGCCGATTGGCTAGGAGCACTTGAACGGCGGAAGCAGCTGGCTCGCGCGGGGACTGCGGTGAGGGGGCGAGCCGTGAAGATGGCGGCAGTGGTGGAGGTGGAGGTTGGAGGTGGTGCAGCTGGGGAACGGGAGCTGGATGAGGTAAGCGGAGTTGAGAGACGAGGAGAGACTCAGCCTGAGACTGAGGGGAGGGGCAGTGAGGTATCGGGAGGTGGAGGTCTTAGGAGAGACGGGAAAGATCCTGAGAGGGAAGGAGCTTACTAGGGGGCGGGTGCGTGGAGAGGGAAGTCAGAGGCACTCCTGACTTGGCGACTCCGAGGCGGCCTTGGGAGTAGAAGACTTGCATTAGCTTTAAGGTTGGAGATGGAGGACAGAGAGAGAGGTCGGAGGGGTGGGGGTGTTAAGATTTTGTGATTACTAGCTGTGGGTCTTAGGGTAGGACCGAAGGGCTAAGAGGTAGTTTGAGTTGGAGAGGCGTGAATTTCTTCAAGGGCTTCCTCTGTGGGAGAGGACTCTGTCTAAGCCTAGGATGGGGGGTGGGGACACAGACCTGGAAAGAGTGCTAATCCACTAGTAGTGTAGCTTTGAGTTATCTTAAAGTTGGATATGTTTTGTTTGTCCTTACATTCTAAGACTTTGTATCTAATGTACGCTCAGTAAAGTTTTCGTCAACGAATGAAGGAACAAGTGGATGAATAAATGATTGTATGCCGGAGTTCATACATTTATTCACTTAATAAATATTATGACTTTTGCTCCGGATCCTGGGCCAGGTGCTAGGGAGACAAGGGGCTCCTCTGTTGAAGAGCCCACAATCTAGTGGTGGGAGACAGACAAGAATAGTCATTGCATTAAAGATATAATGGTGGCACTGAGAAGTGTGTAACAGTTCAGCTTGGGATAGGGAAGGCTTCCCGGAGTTGCTGAGTTTTAAACAATAAATAAGTGTCTCTCTCTCTCCTTCTAGACTTATGAGTTCCTTGAAGGTGAGCTCCTTGAGATTGTATGTTCCCTTTACCTATCTAATAGGCATTTAAAGACTGGGATATTAAATTACCAGTGGTCCTTGGAGGAATCACTAGGAGAAAGGAGATGTTGAGTGTGAAAGGAGTGAAGGGACAGGGCAGAGAAGCAGAGAGAGAGGTGAAAAAGGAAAATGAAAAGATTCTGAAGCCAGAGGCATTGAGATCTAGTGGTGTTTGTGATCCTGCACATGCCACCATATGGACAGAGACATCACAGGAGTAGGAGGAAGGGGATTGGTTGTCAGAGATAGAACCAGGGAGATCTCTGAGGGATCAGAATCTTAGAGGCCCCTTGCTGTGTGTTGGGTGTGGGAAGAGTGGGGAGGATTGGGGATGATTGAAGATGAGGTTCAGAGAAAGGGAGAAGTGGACTTGGGAAGCACTAAGACTTGTCTGGTAGTGGGATGAGTTGGAGGAGTTGGGTTACCTGATTGAGATCATTAAGATGGGAGGAAGGGACTGAGAAATTGGCAGGTGATCACAGCAGGGGAATTTTTAAAGAAGTGTTGTAGTCTTCTGCCTCCCAATCACTAGAGACTATAGGTGTTTGGATACCGGTTGGTTGGTTAGGTGAAGTGGTTGTGGAAATGACCTCTAAGACCCCTTCTGACTTTTACATTTCTGTGATTACAGTTGGCTGTGGTTCAATGAGATATATTTGAAGACACTTTGGAAAGGGTAGATACTGCATTGAAGTTCTTATTTATGGTTTGTTAGTCATGGGCTCTCCCTTGAGACAATTATGTATATCTCAAAGCTTTAGTTATGTATGTCAGGGTTCATTGAGATAAAGAGCAGTTTTGGCAGAGGAGAAAATAACATTTTCTTTCTTTTCTTTTCATTTGAGATGGAGTTTTGCTCTTGTTGCCCAGGCTGGAGTGCAGTGGTGCAATCTTGGCTCACCACAACCTCTGCCTTCTGGGTTCAAACGATTCTCCTGCCTCAGCCTCCTCAGTAGCTGGAATTACAGGCATGCACCACCATGCCCGGCTAATTTTTTGTATTTTTAGTAGAGACAGGGTTTTTCCATGTTGGTCAGGCTGGCCTTGAACTCTCAACCTCAGGTGATCCGCCCGCCTCGGCCTCCTGGATGTGCTCGGATTACAGGTGTGAGCCACTGTGTCAGTCTACTCCTGGAGCTAGTGATTTCCTCCTCAAAGGGGAGGCTAACCAACCTCTGAAAGGAATTAGATGCACCCTTTGGGCACAGAAAGCTAACTTGGGAATTAAGGTAGAAAAGCACTTCGATACCCAATAGGGCCAGCCAGGGCATTGCCTGGCTAGTGACTGTGAATCTGGATGTGTCCACTCCCAAGTCCTATTTATCTACCAAAATGATATGAAATCATGCAGATTCAGTGAGGAGTTTCCAGCTCAAGCCAGAGTTCAAAGCAGGTATCCCAGCCTGCGGCTAACTTGAGGTATTAATATTATTGCCTCAGGTGAATAATTTATCTCTCTTTGGCCCTGTTTTACTCTTGTTAAAAGAGGAGATTGGACTAGATTGGTGTTTTCTTTTTTTTTGAGACGGAGTCTTGCTGTGTCGCCCAGGCTGGAGTGCAGTGGCTGGATCTCAGCTCACTGCAAGCTCCGCCTCCCGGGTTTACGCCATTCTCCTGCCTCAGCCTCCCGAGTAGCTGGGACTACAGGCGCCCGCCACCTCGCCCGGCTAGTTTTTTTGTATTTTTTAGTAGAGACGGGGTTTCACCGTATTAGCCAGGATGGTCTCTATCTCCTGACCTCGTGATCCGCCCGTCTCGGCCTCCCAAAGTGCTGGGATTACAGGCGTGAGCCACCGCACCCGGCCTAGATTGGTGGTTTTTAAACCTTTATTTAGTCATGAATCCTTTTATTCAAACAAAATCTCACTCTGAAGCCTTGTGGTCCTTGAATGGATTCAACAGAACCCCTAAGGTGCTTGAAGCCACCCTTTGAAAGCCAAGGATTTTTCTGTTATAGTCCATTGATTGGGTGACCCCACTTTTTAAATTTTTAAAAAATTTTTTTTATTTTTTTGAGATGGAGTCTTGCTCTGTTGCCCAGGTTGGAGTGCGGTGGCGCGATCTCGGCTCACTGCAAGCTCCGCCTCCCGGGTTCACGCCATTCTCCTGCCTCAGCCTTCCTAGCAGCTGGGACTACAGGTGCCTGCCACCATGCCCAGCTAATTTTTTGTATTTTTAGTAGAGACGGGGTTTCACCGTGTTAGTCAGGATAGTCTTGATCTCCTGACCTCATGATCCGCCCACCTTGGCCTCCCAAAGTGCTGAGATTACAGGTGTGAGCCCCCGCGCCCAGCCTGGGTGACCCCACTTTATGTTCCTTCAGCCTACTTGTACTTTGCCTAGGCCAGCCCCACCAAGCATTATAAAATTGTCTGCCTTCCCCACTAGACTGTAAGCTTCGTGAGAGAGCAGAGTCCAAGTGTATCTTGCTCACCATTGTATTCTCTTCACTCAGTATGTTCCTGGCATACAGTAGGCACCCAATAAGTATTTGATAATCATTATTTTTGATTAGTAGTATGATAGCTACCATTTAGTGGATGTTTGTGATATGCCAGCTCTTCTGCCTAATGGTATATGCTTTTTTATTAAATGTTTATGACATCCCCATGAGAATTGAATTATTGGATGAAATCGTCTCTAGCTCTTTCTGGCTGTAGCACTCTATGTACTGTTTCTAATTACTGCCAGGCTTTGTTGGTGCTGTCCAGTCTGCCTAGAATACCTTTCTTTTCCCTTAATGCCTTTTGAAATTCCACCTGCCCCTTAAAGTTCTAGCTCCCTTAGCTTCTTGGACTATTCTGATCTACACTGATACCTTTTCCCCTTGCCTTTTATTGTTTTCTCTGTTTAAGTTTGTTCCCTCATTTCTCAACTTAGTCCTCAAACTTCTGAAACATTTGTGTGCCAGGCACTTTGGTGTGCCTGTTAATACCAAGATGGATAAAGTGTGATAATTGCCCTCAGAGAGTTCACAGACTGGTATGAGTAGAGAAAGAGTGATAAGTACATGCAAAATATGTCACAGATACTGTGATAGTGAGGGGGGTGCGGTAGGTACATCAAGGAGGAAGTGGCAGTCAGTGTTACGTCTCCTTTTCCCTGATAAGTTGGTAAACCCCCAGCGGGCAGACTGGAAGTTCCCATCCCTTGCTGCTTCAAGCATTAATCACTGGGTTTTTGTTTGTTCTGTCACCTGTGGTTCTCTCCCTATAGACATTTAGTAAATATACCTTGTTGCCAGGGATTTTCTTCTCTAGAGATTTTTGGTCTGAGCCAATATCTTACTGAGGGATCAAGGAATATGTGATTGAAGTTTAGTCTGGATATCTGACTACCTCTGGATTTTTTTAGGCATGTAAAGTGAGTGGTGGCAAGTGTAGTGGGGAAAAAGCCATAAAGTAGTAAACAGTGGACTCATATTCTATACTAGGAATAGCAGATTTGTTTTATCTCAGAGACAGCCACCTGATCATAGATACTTAGAAGCCTGTGTTGAGAAGGGTTCTGAAGCCAGGGCTTAGCAGAAAAGAGTGCTGAGGGTGAAATAATACAGATTACTTATTCTGTGCCTAGTCCTGTGCCAAGTGTTTTAAATGCATTCTTTTTTTTTTAGACAGTCTCACTCTGTCACTCAGGCTGGAGTGCAGTAGAGTGATCTTTGCTCACTGCAACCTCGGCCTCCCAGGCTCAAGTGATTCTCCCACCTCAGCCTGCCAAGTAGCTAGGACCACAGGTGTGCACCACCATGCCTGGCTAACTTTTTGTAGTGACAGAGTTTCACCATGTTGCTCAGACTGGTCTCAAACTCCCGTACTCAAGCAATCTGCCTGCCTCGGCCTCCCAAAGTGTTGGGATTACAGGCATGAGCCACTGCACCCAGCCCTTAGATTCATGATCTAATTTAATACCATAACCTTATAAGATATGTACTATTATTACTATCTCATTCTATAGATGTGGAAGCTGAGGCATAGAGAATTTAAGTAACTTGCCCAATGTTATACAGCCAGGTAAGTGACAGAACTGGGGTTAAAATCCAAGACTACTTCAGTGCTTGTGCTGTTAACCACGACGGGCAATATGAGTACTCTATACTGCCCATCCTGTTCTA